ATTTCCAGTCATTACAGTGAAAAGTTCCCTTATAATCTTTCAATAATACACTTACAAGGAATAAGAACTATTGTTTTTAACACAGTGGCCATCAGGACAATGCAAATGATTCCCAGGACCTCAGCAGTGAGCTTCTCTGGAGGTGGCAGTAAACCTGCAGGGAGAGAAATAGAGGCACTGAGAGAGGGGAGATAGAGAGTTGATGAGGTTTACATATAAGAGAACCCACATGCACAGGGAAACATAAACGCAGCACACCAACATGGCACAAGTATACATATGTAACAAACCTGCACGTTGTGAACATGTACCCTAGAATTAAAAGTATAAAAAAGTATTAAAAGTATAAAAAAAAAAAAAAGGATAAACTCTGGCCTCTAAATCTACATCTACTATAGTAATGTTTCTCTCAGAATATACCAGTTCATTTTCAGTAAATATAATGCTCCATGAGTTGTTGATCACAGATTACAACTGAACAATGCCTGAATAAAATCAGGCTTCAGATTTCATATTAGAATATTAGATCCTGACTTTTGACCTCTGATTGTCACAAGTGCAAAATATTCCCTAATCTTTCCCCACCCTTCTGCATTCAACTGCACATCCTAGAACGATAATATTGAAGATCTATTTAATGTTTTACCTTTGCAGTGATATGTCTTGTCATTCCCTTGATGATCTGAAGAAGCATTTTGAAGGTTTAATTCTACTTGGGATATTTTCTGTTCGGTTCCTGAAATGGAGCTTTTATTGCCCTTAAGTTTCCTTTGCTGCCTCCCTGGGTCCTGGGCCAGACTCACTTCGGAGTAGGTTCCTCTTTGTTTATTCATCTCTGCAGCTGTGTGATGTCAGGGACTGTGCTCTATGATAACTGCTCTTAAGAAGTTATAAATGGTGTATATTTTGACAGGATCCCTGGTATAGGCAAACTGCATGTGTTGGTGGCTGAGTAATAATGTTCATTTTGCTGTTGACCAATATAAAAGTCTAGTACCAATTTCCTAAAGTTTTAAACTGAAATCTCTTTAAACAATAGGTCATTTTTTAAAAGGTATTCTGTATTTGACACAATATTGTTAATGGGAACAATAAAAAACAATACGCTTGTGAAAACTAAGAAGTAAATGAAAATAAATATCTTCATTAATTTAAAGTCAAATTCTACAGAAATATTTTATCACCAATACCTGTGTAAAAACACTAAAATTGAAATCTGAAAATAAAATGCACTAATTGTATGACAATTTTAAAATTCATTAATGTAAGGATTGAGTGCTAAAGATGGAGGAATGGTTTGTTAGCGTATAGAGCAACTTTTAATACTAAAGTACATTAAGTTAGTGACTTACGTTCATTTACTAAAAGGGCATGAAGTCTTGGCAAATGTTTTTTATTCTGAATGATTGAGGACATCAGAAAAACTGTTAAAATTTTAAAGAAATATTTTATACCTTGTAAAATATTACATTAACTTAGGCATAAACTAATTACTATAGAAAATCATTGAACTGTTTATTTTACAGAAGTGATTGCTAGTTGGTTTAATGGCTAAAATAGGAAAACTGAAAATGATAAATGTTAAGTTTGGACCATCTATGAAAGAACACTTTAGGTTCAAACTTTCAGAAAGATACTGTGGCTGTTTTAAAAGGCAATGAGGGTCACTTTGGTTGTGTAAGTAATTGTAATAAATCAGAAAATATAATTTGATAATCTAGTCAATGAGCTCTGTAGCCAGTGAGACCTAAAATTAATTAGAGCTTTGAAACTCATAATGCATGACCGTTTACAAAGTTACTTAGTGTCTAAAACCCCAGTTTACTAATCTAGACTGGGGAAAGTAATTTATAAAGTACAATGTATGTAAAACACTTATACAACCTGGCACATATTAGCCCTCAATTATTTATTTTTAATTTATAATTTAATTTATTTATAATTTAATTTATTTAAAATTTAATTATTTTTAACACAATTGCCATTTTATTATTTCTAATTCATACTGATTGTGTAAAATAACGAATTAGGTAGGAGACTGATATCAGTGTAGTACATCTTTTCTGCAATGTTTGTTTGGCTCAATTTTTTTAAGTCATCCTATTATTTATAATTAAGATTAGATTTGCACTTTATGGAAACTACTTCATTATTGTTTTCTTAAAAAAATAAAATCTGCTTCAATTAAATATGTGTATGAGAAATTATGTTGGACATTCACAATTTGATGTATATTGATTATTAAAGTCTGGGGTACATATAAAGTATTATTACATCCATAATGATTATAAAATTTCAAATTAATTCTTCATTGTCATGATATTTATTGGTTACACTCTAAATTATACTGATCAACAAACCTATTATTATGTATGCATGTACTTGACTAATTCTCCACAGGCAATCATGTAAATACTTTTAAAAATCCTCAAACATATATTTTGGGTTGTTTTTCACCCTGAATTATTCATGTAAAGACAGTTCTAATTTGATTTTATTCTGTATTAACTTTACCTTGTTGCATCACATTTAATATTTACAATCTTCTACTAAAGGAGATGTCTCTGGGAAGAATAAATTATTAAACAATATTGTACTATATCACCACGCCAGATTGAAATATAAAAATCCATTCATTATATTGTTCATTGATTTATTTTCCAATCATAACTAACTGCATTTTAATAGGAATATTTGTTGTAAATGACTAATGCTTAAATCAAACTATATAGAGAGGGAAAAGTAATTTTTAAAATGTCACTTAGTTAAAAATAAAGAGGGCAGAAAAAGTAGATTTTAAAAACACAAGCTAAATGGTACATGAGCACTCAGGTGCGGTGGCTTATGTCAGTAATCCCAGCAACTTGGGAGAGCAAGACGTGTAGATTTCTTGAGCTCAGGAGTTCAAGACCAGCCTGGTCAACATGATGAAATCCCGTCTCTACAAAAAAATACAAAAATTAGCCAGCATGGTGGTATTTGCCTGTAGCCAGCTACTCTGGTGGCTGAGGTGGGAGGATCACTTGAGCCTTGGAGGTAAGGTCGAGGGTGCAGTGAGCTGAGATGAAATGTACTGAAATTGGGGAAATATGCTTCATAACGATAAATTAATTTTCCAAACCATTAGTAATATATTTTTTATCATTGTATATACCTAATGATACAAATTCAACATATAATTGAATAAAGTGAACAAGTAAACAATCATAAATGGGATTTTAAAGACTCTTCTCTTGATGCTTAATACAAGACAGGCCAGTGAGCCTGTAGAAAGATTTAAACTAGACAAGTAACTATCATTCATATGAATACATTCACACACGCACTCACACATATACTCAATTTCAATGTAGTACCAATAGGCAAGCTTGGCCAGGAGACAGTCAAAATGTACCTATTCAAATTTAACATTAATTAATAAAAAGTAAAAAACATTTAAAACCACTACCTCACCACATGAACCACATTTATAGAGGGATGAACATTTCCAGTTTCATAGAAAATGTTCTAACTATATTTTACCTACAATAGAAGTCAATAAACAAAAATCTGAGAACCTTATATGGTTTTTAATTCAGTAATGTATGTCTAAATAACATATGGGCCAAATAAATTATCAAGATGAATGGTCACAAAAGACTACTAAAGGAAGATTTTGAAAAGGCACAGATGTTTTATTTCCAGTTTAAACATGGCAATACCATTATGGTATTTACAGTTATTAAACAGGCGATAAAACTATATTATCAATGCATTTAATGTCCATATGAAATGGAAAATTCCTAGGAAATGCTCATTACCAAAATATAGTACCTCAAATAGAAATCTGAGTAAACCCTACATGTACTGAAGGCATTAGTTTAGACATAAACTTTTCTACAAAAATAGCCTGCAAACTCAGATGGCATCACTAGTGAACGATAACATTTAAAAATAAAGTGGTACTCTTCATTATTATTACTATATTTTAAGTTCTAGGGTACATGTGCACAGTGTTCAGGTTTGTTACACAGGCATAGATGTGCCAGGTTGGTTTGCTGCACCCATCAACTTGTCATTTACATTAGGTATTTCTCCTAATACCTAATATAAAAGGTATTACGTATTTCTCCTAATACCTCCTTCCCCAATCCCCCACTCCCCGACAGGCCCCGGTATGTGATGCTCCCCTCCCTGTGTCCATGTGTTCTCATTGTTCTATTCCCACCTATGAGTGAGAACACGTGGTGTTTGGTTTTCTGTCCTTTTGGTAGTTTGCTGAGAATGATGGTTTCCAGCTTCATCCATGTTCCTGCAAAGGACATGAAACCATCCTTTTTCATGACTAAAGCAGTACTCTTGACAGATGCTTCCAGGTTATAGAAAAAGAGAAAATCTTCCCAAGATAGCCTTGAGACCAAAACTTTTTCAAGTACATAGCTATAAATAAAAACATGGTCAAATATCCTTGTGAACATGGATAAAGAAACAAATCTTACCCTAGACAAAATATGTGCACTGATATTTTATAAGGGGCAATATACAATGATCTGCATGGATTTGTTTCGGAAACAAACTCTAGTTTAACATTTGACAAAAATAAAACTAATTTGTTTTATAAAATGCTGTATAAAGAAAACACATATCATTCTGAGTAACAAAAAATAATTAAAAAGTTACAACAATTGATAAAATCTATTAGAAAAAATGACTATTATAAGACTGCTTCAATATAAGAAAGATATGATGAAAAGAACACCAAATTTCGTAAATATGAATAATATGCTGAATTATTTTTTGCCAAAACCAGAAAATGATACACATGATACATGCAAAATTTGATTGTACCTTCTATTTGACTATGGATATAAAGCACTAGCCAGAGAAAATAAATGAAGAAAAAATAAGTTATGGCACATGGATAGAAAAAATAAAAGTGTGATTATCTGCAGATAAAATTGCTGTTTATATAGAAAATCCAGAAAAATCTACGTTTGAAATGATAGATTTAAATATGTAAAATAAGTGAAATAACTAGATACAAAATCAAAATGCAGACATCAATTGTATTACTATTTACAGTAACAGAAATTATTAAAGGGAATATTAAAATCAGAATGCCATTTACAAAAGCATGAATGTAAAATATCTGCATTTCGTATGATTCAATCCCCCAAAATATATAATATAATAGAGAAGAATTAAAGAGATCCCGGTACATTGAACCCAGTACATTGAAGGACACAATATGATATTGATTGGAAAAGTCAAGAAGCTAATCTTTAAATATTACTTTAGAGATTAAATGCAGACTCAAGCAATCTCAGGACAGTATTATTATTATTTTTTTTTTGGAGAGCTTTATTGAGGTATCATGTACATAGCATAAATTTCATCTGTTTAAAATAATTAAAAATCAGTGATTTTTAGTATATTCACAGAGTTACCACCATCACCACTACTGAAATTTAAAAAGTTTTCATCACTGACACAAAGAAACATTCTAGCAATTAGTGGCCACCTCCTATTTCAACCTCCCTTAGGCATTGGCAGCGCTGTTTTACTTTCTGTCTCCATGGTTTTGCTTGTTCTTGACACTTCATACAAACTGACCCACATAACATGCAACTTTTAGGAAGGCCGAATGCCACAAACATGTTTAGCAACATGAGCCCGACCTAAATGCTAGGATATCTGTACTTTTTAAATTGTGTGTATTATATTTCAATAATTTATTTAGAATTTTCTTATTATTAGAGCAAATAATGCAATTCATTTTAAGACATGCAATCATATCATTTCTATGTTAACAAATATAAAATTTATCTGATGCACTGCAAACTCAAATACTTTCATTCTAAAGCTTATGCTTACAATAATATCTTTTTGAAGATCCACACTCGACTGATTTAAGTCTATCTAGATGTAGCATTGCACAGTTATATTCAGCATGATCTGAGTCTTTTATCCTGTAATGGAGAAAAATCCATAATTCTGTTACATTTTATGCAAGTGATTCATGAGACAAGAACATTTTCCATGTATTGTAAGAAAACAAGTTTAAGAAAAAGCGTAATTAAATTTTTCATATACTATTACCAAAAGTCATTATTCTGAAAACTCAATACAGTAGTTCCCCCTTCATCCACGGGGGATGTGTTTCAAGACCCCAGTGGATGTCTGAAATGGCAGATAGTACAGAACCTATAGAGAGATTGTGTTGTGTCTACACATTCCTAAATATGATAAAGTTTAATTTATAAATTAGGCACAACAAGAGATTGACAACAATAACTACTAATAAAAAATTATAAGCAATATGCCAACAGCAGTGCTCTTGTACTTTGAGGATATTCTTAAATAAAATAAGGGTGGCTTTTTAATGAAAACAAGCACTGTAATTCCCTGATAGTCCATCTCAAGCTTGTCCAACTCACGGACCATGGACCGCATGTGGCCCAGGCAGCTTTTAATGTGGCTCAACACAAATATGTAAACTTTCTGAAAACATTCTGAGATATTTTTGCAATTTTTTTTGTTTAGCTCATCAGCTATCATTAGTGTTAGTGTATTTTATGTGTGGCCCAGTACTATTCTTCCAATGTGGCCCAGAGAAGCCAAAGATTAGACATCCCTACTCCATCTCATAACCAAGAAAGTTACTAGCTGACCAATGAGCGGTTGACATATAGGGACTACTATGGTCTACTGTGAAATATTTATATCAACATTTCACTAACTTTCCACATCTTTCTTCATGTATATGATTCCACATAAATTTATTCGTATTATTCTTCTGAATTTATCCTTTATATTTTTTTTATATAGCACCGTACAAAACAACTTACTCATGTTTGAAAGTCAAACCGTTTATTGTCACCCATGGATGATGACTGCTGTCACGAAACACACCAATCCATGCGGATGGTAAAATGGCAGTCAGAAATTTCTAAAAGAAAAGAAAGAATCTTCATTTAAATAATACTTATGAAAACATTACAAAAACAATATATTAAAGTTGAAAACCACTATTTGCGGTACCAAAAACTTTCATAAATGTTTATGATTTTGATATAAATGAACTCTTAAATGTTTATACTTAGTACTTTCATTGTTATTTTCATGTTAATAAAGACATTTTAATTCTTGCATTATAATAGTTACCCCAATTGACCAAATAAACACAGGAAGGATTTAAATAAATTTCCTGATACTGTGCATTCATTCCTCCAGATACTGTGACTAAATCAATCTATTTTTGTACTATATGTCCCAGAGTTGGAGATTTAGAAGAGAAATGAGAGGTTGTCATTCAGAAATAAATGACATAGAAGCTACAGATTGGGTTTTCTGGGCACCACACCATTCTTTAACTAGACAAGCCCTCACTTTTTTATCTGATTTGGTTTTGGTGGAATAACAGTGGTCCTGACCAGGTGGTGTAGACTCATCTCTCTCTGCTACTCCCTACTAAAAATAACTATAAACTCTGGGATTAATGAAAGACAAAAGCAATGGAGAACTCTGAAAGGTGAAAAGAGATAGATGAAATTGTCTGGGACCCTATCATCAGGATTCAACAAAGTATCTGAGCCAGCATGTGAAGTCCTCCACCCGACAGAAGAAGGTGACCTAAGCCTGCTGTTTCCCCACACCCAACCTGGCAACAGGAGGAGGCCCAGCAAAGCTCACTCCTGCTCTGTATTGAAGGGGAGTCCCCTCCACAACACCAGGCGAGGCTGGTACCACTGGCGAGGATGAGCTACCAGGAGACCTGCTATCAATACAGCCAGAGGAAGTGCTTCCTTCTCATTCCAAGAGATACCAGGGTGGATGTGGGTGAGGAGGATCAGCAAAGCGACCCCATGACTACCAGTGCACCACCCAAGGTCCTCTTTGTCCCTGAGGGCAGGAGACCCACTTCCCCATCCAGAGACAAGGACTCAATGGATTCTTAGTGTTCTTTGTACATAGTACAGCAGTGAACAGTAACATACTACTGATAACTGCAATAATATGGAAGAATTGCACAAATATCAGATAGGAGTGAAAAACACAGACATGAAATTCACACTGTATGATTCCCTTTATATAAATTCAAGAAGAGGCAAATGCTATTTATAATATTAAAAGTCAAGGCAGTGTTTTGGAGAGGAGTCAGGATAAGTGATGAGTGTACACACAGGGGTGGAACTGCTAGAGCGGGAAACTTTTATTTCATGATCTGACTTATATCACATGAGTTCATGCACTTTGTGATCAATCTGCATGACCAGATCATATCATGCCCGATAAAATTAGATAGCAAAATTTATTGTGTATTGAAAGTATTTATAGAAGCATGGTTTTCTTTGAAAACAAAAACTGAAAATAAAAGTACATTAGCAGTATATAACTTTAAATACATTATTAAGTCAATCAATTGAATATTACATAAACTTGAAAATATATAAGATAAATACATGTACACACATATAGATGCTTACTACAAATGTATTATTCACTGAAAGAAGCTTTTCATAAAATCTTTGAAACATTTATATCTTACCATTTCTTCTTCATTATCTATAGAAAGCAGACTGGAGTTCTTTGAAGTACAGGCCAGCAAACTCTCTGCCCAAGTTCTTTTTTCCTTGCCAATGTAATAACAACTGTTGGAATATGTAATCCACTCCTCAGGACAATGGCCACAATGACGTACTAAATAAAGATATGAATTACTATGCAGAACAATATGAATATTTACAAATGAAAATTCATTTACATATTTGCAACAGTATAAACCTATATGTGCTTAACATACTTATGCATCCTTACAGGCTTATAAATATATATTTTTTAATAACCGAGTCAGTCATACACACATGCACAGACAAGGGTTAGCCTCTCATTCCTAATTGTGTTCCCATATAAAGCAAACCAACAAACAAAAATACACTCTACACATGTCTTGAACATCACTGATACACAACTGCTTTTTTAGGATAGTAAAATTATTCATTTCATATCATCTCATAGCAGTAGGAAACTTCTGTTAATTGGGAGAAAAAGAGTAAAATGATTTTAAGTGAGTATTTCTACTTATTGGAGAAAAGGAAATGCTGCCTTATAATCTTTGTTTATAAATATTTATGGCTGAATTTTATGGCTTATTTTCTGCAAAAATGCCATCATTCTTTTACATGCCTTAAACCAGACACAAAATATAAATTGTACTAATATCAGAACGTTGAAAATAAAAGTGTACTTTCTGGGTTCTTGTATTCGGGAAAGAATTGTTCTGCTCCAGGACTGTAATAGAAAAATTAAAATGAGTTTTATAAAAACTAATATCTAGATAAACCATAACGAGTTTACTTTCTTACTTTGAAACTTTGTGTGTTATTTAAAATGGGAACAATCTTTAATAAAATTAACTTTTCCTATAAAACTAAATGAATAGATCTTTGAAAGAAGTATTTTTAAAGACTTTAGCACAAAACTTCACCATCGCTTATAGTATTTGATGTAACCACTTTCGAAAATTAAATTGTTTTTCTAAATACTTTTCTCCAAAGCATGCCTTTGGATTATGAAATCAGAAAATACATTGTGTGTGTATGTGTATATATCTATATAGATAGATAGATAGATTACCAACACACACAAAAAAATACATGTTCTCTACAATGATTTTGTTATTTGTGTTGTGAAAAGTTCAGAATAACCATATCACTTTTGGGTCCAAATTATACTAATATCTGAACGTTGAAAATAAAAATGTACCTTTCTGGGTTCTTGTATTCAGGGAAGAATTGCTCTGCTCCAGGACTGTAATAGAAAAATTAAAATGATTTTTGTAAAAACTAATATCTAGATAAACCATAATGGGTTTAGTTTCTTACTTTGAAACTTTGTGTGTTATTTAAAATGGGGACAATCTTTAATGAAATTAACTTTTTCTATAAAAATAAATGAAGTAATAGATCTCTGAAATAAACATTACAATGAG